TCGTTGGCTAGGTTTTGGATTTATTACTTTCGAGGCCGAACAATCGGTGGACCAGGCTGTCAACATGCATTTTCACGACATCATGGGCAAAAAAGTGTGTAGTTGTAGTTTTATTTTAACCTTCAGATAAAACAGAGGCTTAGGCGACTGACTTCATCTTACAATACAACGTGATGCGGTGACGTACAAATGCTAATGCATTTGGTCAATTTCCAAGTTTGATCTGACAGTTAGGCTAATTGGTTTCATGCTCAACACAAAAGTATGTTCTCTACACTGACAAGTGCTGTATTTTGGTACTTCAGATCTTGTCGCCTAAGGCTCTGTTTCTAAATGACCACTCCTTTAGGTTGTTTGATGTAATTTTATTCTCAAAAGTAATTCAACGGTAGAACAAAATCTGCATGTTCATGTATAAATGCATTTCTCAGCATACATAATTGGAATAAATAAATAAGAAATAAAAATCATTCGCAGCCCACCAAATCGCAAAATTTAATTCACCTAAAGGATTGGTCTAATCAGTTCTGGTTTTTAAAAAAATATTTTTATTATTTTTTATGTTTTTGGTTGGCAGGTCACTTCCACGGCAACATGTTTTCTTTTACTTAAAAAAAACAACTCAGTGACCTCAATCAAAGAATCTCCATACTGTGTCCATCCGCCTGACAAAAACATTTTGCAGCTCTCCTAAATCACAGTTGAGAAAATAGACGGTAAAAACGTTGCCTTCATGGCGTGTGCTAGACAAGCTTTGCATCCGGAGAAAGTAAGTACGGTAAATAATTCACCATGATGCAATGTTTAAGATTGTCTTCTCACCTCCCGGTACCCGCATTGGGGCTTCTGCTGCTATAATGGCAAACATCACCCACCTGGAACCTTATCTGAGTGAAATGTTAAAACAAGTGTGTTTATATCATAGCTATGTAGTTCAGATTAGCAACGTCATATTAACATAAAAGCCACTGTCTGTTTCCACTTAAAAGTGGCAATTGACTCTGTTTGGTTATTTTATTTTATTTTTTGTATTAAATTAATGACTCACAGAAGGCACCAAGGATATCTTAATTAAAAGGTCACTTTCACATTAGAGATATATCTAGGCTGAATCCAATCTCATTGGTGATGGATTTAGCTCAACCTGTAAACTCTCCAGTTAGACACCCCCATGACTTTGCCCTGATTTTTCAGCAGGCGTCAAGGCTCAACTTAATCCATTGTTCTTGACTTGACATTACCTTACACTGGGACTTGGGGGAGCTTGGGAGGTATGAGTTACAAAATTAGAAAATGGAGCACGTCAAACTGAGGAACAAATCCCAGTTCTGTTGTTGGGGACTTTACAGAAGTCATGGTATCCATCACACGAAGCTGTGATGCCCACGGGAGAAAGCGCTCTGGTAGCTGCCGGCGGCAGCGGGGCCACTATCAGACGTGCGTGTAATTGGGTCGACGGAGAAAAAAAAGAGAGGAAGCTGGGGTTGCCAGCAACACCTTAAAGCTGGGTGGAATTTGTGATTCATTTTCTTCCTGCAAGGTGACCCTAATAACTCAACCCCTCAGTCTATTTCTGGTTGGCTCCCCCTTTAGTCTCTGCCCGTTTCTTTGAGCTGGTTAACTGTTTGTTGCTGTGCCTTGTCACCCAGTTTTTTTCCAATTCAAAATGCGTCTCTGACTTGGGCCATTCAAAATACTGTACATGCATAGATTCCAAGTAGATGATATGGTTGGTGAACTATCAGTGTCAAGTAACAAATGGAACAGAGATGAGTTTGTGTCATGTTACCTTTTGACATTTTTGACAATATTGCACCTTTTGACACAGTATGAACATTCGATTTTATACTGACAAATGTTCATTTGTTCTTTCTGCATGTTTACCTTGTATTCTTTTGGAACTGAAGTACAATTTTCTCTCTACGTCCATTCCCCTTAAAAAGTATTCCAGTTAGAATAAATTGAGATCTCTCTGTATGCATTAGATGAAGAAAGGTAAGTTGTAATTTTACATTAGTATACTCTTGTTTTGTAGAAGGCAGTTCATTGAACTAAAAAAAAAAAAAAATCTATGTTTCTCAGGTACATTAAATGCTCAGGTCAAGACACGTTTACATTTTAAAAACTTTTTTTTTTTTTTTTTTTTTTACTTTTTGGTTTGCAGTACCTGATATACATAGCTGTACTTGTCTCCTGGTTACCCCCAAATTTGGATTTAGATATTCAATCCATGCTATTGTCCTAAAGTGAAGCTTTTGAAATTGGCCACCAAACAATATAAATGTCTTAAAATTTGGGTTAGGACACGTCTTACTAGGTGGGAGACTTCATGGGCCATTTGCTGGTATTACCAAATTGTATCCCTGCCTTGTCCTTTGTCCAGGTTGAAGTCAAGAAGGCAGAACCCCGTGACAATAAAGCTCCTGGCCAGCTAGGCCCAGGCCAGTGGGCACCCAGGAGCATCTTGAGTGCAGCTAATGGTTGGCCAGCACAGCCTGCCCAGGCTTGGCAACAGCCTTACGGGCCACAAGGTAAGTGCAAAGAAACAATAGGCGTTATTAGTTCTTTGACTAACAGCTACCTTCTGTGAAAATATTCTAGATCAGGGGTGTCAAACTCATTTCACATTGTGGGCCACATACGGACTCGGTAGATGTCAAGTGGGCCGAACCATTAACATTATACCATACTGTGCTATGAATCACCAAAATATCATCTCTTTCCTTTGTTTTGGTCTCAAGAAGCATTGATTGGCGCTTTCATATCATTTGCTGCGTTGGGTCTATCTCGGTGACAGACTGAGACTGCTGTTTTCTTCCCCGATCAAAACAATGTTGTCTTCTACTGTGATCAAAAGTGTGCCCCCTAGTGGATAATACACGAATTGCATTTTATTTAAAATATTAATTCTGTGTCTTCAATGCATTTTTTTCGCTTTTAAATTATCCCGCGGGCCGGATCGAACCTCCTTGGGGGCCGGTTCCGGCCCGCCGGCCGTATGTTTGACACCCCGTTCGAGATTATGAGTCAGTTTCAAAGCTCAACTGGATTTTGAACAAACCTCTTCTTTCCATTTTTTTCCTTTGTCTAAATCACTGTATTATTTTGTCCCTGAAGGCATTTGGGTATCCACGACTGGCCAACCAATAGGTAGGCTCTCAACCTCGCCTTTCCAACAACAACCAACCAAACATTACTGATGTTTTATCCATGTAATGATGTGAAATCAAATCAGTTTTGCTGTATGATGGCAAAATTACTCCAAATCAAGTGTTTGCACACTGTGGCTTTGTACTTCTTATATTTATCTTATGTAGCTACGGTGAAATAATGAACCATTTTAATGCAATTTGTGATTGACGGAGACCATAATTTTAAAGATTTTGTTCAAAAGTGTTCGCTTCATAGTTAATCACATTGTCAAAAACAAAGATGTCACATCTACCATATTCTGAGCCAAAACAAACTGGATACCATGCATATTGTAATTATTTATGGACATGTTATGCCAGTAGTCGCAAGTGTTAACTGGCATAGCACACATGGTTCAGTTGATAAGAAGTGTGTACAAGAAATTGTGTTCTCTAATTAAGCAGGTGGTTATGGACCTCCATTAACAGCAGGCCGGGGGACCCCCACACAGCCCCCTTCACCTTTTAGTGCATTCCTGGTCACCACCCCAGCGGGCAGCTTTGCTGCACCTCAGGGCTACCCTCCGCAGGGCTTCAGTACAGCACCTCAATTTGGTGAGTGACGCTGACACGGTCATTGCAACCAAATGCTCAGTTGTCTCGGAAGTTAGTAGTTTAAATTATACACTGAACAAAACTAAAAGTAGTTTCTGAAACTGATGTTGGTAGAGAGAGAGAGAGAGAGAGATTAATATCTCTATCTCAGTGGTTCTCAACCTTATTAGAGGTACCGAACCCAGACAGTTCAGATGCACATTCATCGAACACTTCATTACTGAAATATACAAATTCAAGAAGTGTTCCTTCAGTTTTGCCGGTGCTAGACTAGAGTTGCTCAACTTTGCATGACAAGTCATGCAGATAGGATGCTGAGTCCCATCATGTTCCGTGATGCATGTGATTCCATGCGGTACATATTCGTCCAACCACTTTGGGGTTTTTTTTCCGACATAATTAGCGTGTATTAAAACATTCTAAAATAAATCACACGTTGACTACTGAGCAAACTAAATTTCCCACAGCACTGATTGTAATGTGATCATCTGCAGCCAGTGATGGCCAAGCGGGCGTGTCATAACTAATTTACATGTTGAGTCGGGTGTGTCTTAACCTCCATGACAGAAGCTCCGTCAAACCCCTGAGACCGATTTACCGAACCCCTGGGGTTCGATCGAACCCAGGTTGAGAACCATTGCTATCTGTCTGTCTATCGATCGATCGATCAATCTACTGCACCAAATACAAGATACGAGCGACTTTTTTGGGCTGAACAAGCCACCGTAGCTTGGCATCGTTGGAAATATTAGCTCGTAGTGAGTGTTGGTCATACGTGATCCTTTGTCTTTTGTTGAGCCATGCCGCTGCCATCATGTTCATCATCAAAATTTAGAAAAATAACATCCTTAAATGTGCATTGTTTGAGCTGTTCTTGACGTTCAAAATAATTTTGCAGCTCCAATAAAAGCACAATTGTCTCGATCAAGAATCACGCACCATGGGCACCATCTCATTAAAGTAATGCAGGAAGCAGTGTAGAGCTTGATGGGAGGTGTGCCTTGAAAGAAGCTAGCAAGTTATTGAGAGGCAAAAGTATGATTCGAGAAAAGTCATTAAGATGATCATTTTATTGTGTTACAGGTTACAGTTTTGGCACTCCTCAAGCAGAACAGTATGTTCAGCAGGTTCCTCCTCCACCTACTACTCCAGGAACTGCAACATTGGGCTTTGCTCCTACCACTACACCAACTCAGGACTTAGGCAAAGCTTCATCTGGGCAGCCTGACTTTCCGTATAGCCAATATGGTAAGCAGTGTTGTGGTTGTTTGCTCTTCCATAGGCCTTTCTCTCCTATTTCATTTTTTGATACACCTAAGCACACGCCGTGCCACTAGATCATTTTTGGTCACGACGGGAATTGCTTTTAATGCTAATGCATTGTTGACGGCGTTAACACAGAGCTTGCTGTTGAAATCATTTGTTAAACAGCCTACATGCTTCTTACATGAAACCCTCTCCCACCTGAGCTGTGAAGTGGCTGTCATTTGTATCAGGTCCCTCCAGCAGGGCTCTGGTTGCATAAAAGTTTGGTAGGTGTTGGTTTGAATTAGATCATCCTGCCTCGCAATGCTTGTTGTTTTAGCATTTATTTCATTCTTGACAGATTGCTTCATAAAGCTTTGTAGAAGTCCTTATGTCTTCTAGCTATTTCCTCCCAAACATTCCATTTCTTTTTTGAGGGCCTTGTTGATTTCCATTCTCGGTCTTGGCACGATTGTCATACACAATACCATTATGAAACCATCTGGAGTTAAGCATGCTTAAATGACTTTCAACTAGGGGTGCACCAGTCACATTTTTTCTGGCCAATAGCCAATCCCAGATCTTTAACAAGCCTTGACCTGCCAATCCTGATTTTTTTTTTCTCCTCTCCATAGCCAACATCATACACCTTCAATGTTCAAATCTGGTTTTATTGTAAACCATTAAACAATACCTGTGAAACAATGCAGAGTGATTGCTTAAACTGCACAAATTAGTTCTCTCAAATAAAAATGAAAACCCCATTAGTCATCTCATAGCAGAAGAGGACAGAGGCTGTCTTTTTCAGACCTCTGCGGCGGGAGATACGATCGGTCGACAAGATTGGTTTTGTTTTAAAGGATCGGTTGACCCTATGAAATGAAGAAAATAGACCCCGATACTGATCCCAGCCGATTGATTAGTGCGCCCCTACTCTAAACAATTTTCAACATCTCTTGCATTTGTTCATACCATACCTGCATGCTTCTAACTGAAATGCAAATGCATTATGCATGCAGATTTTAAATCTTTCTAATCTTTTTTAGTCATTTTAAATGTCTGTGTTCCTTCATATCCCTTTCTGTGGGACGTCCTTTTTTGTTTTTTGTTTTTTTTTTGGGGGGGCGAGGGGTCTTTGAGCTTGAGGATATTGTTTAACATTACCTTTGTCAGTGTTGTCGGGCATCTTCAGTTGTTACCAATTTTCAACAAGCACAAGATGGCCAAGTGCAAACAAATTGGCACTGCTGAGTTGCACCTTTTCCAGAGTACTTTGTTAGCCTGCAGAATTAAGTTTAATATCTTGTTGAGAGCATAACATGAGTATGGTTCACCTTTTCCGCTTAGGTACATAAACATTGTCACTTAAGAGTCAATTATAAAGGAAAAGATGCATACAACATTTTCTGAGACCCGATGAGTTGGCTCTGTCTTGAGTTACCTATCATTTTCTGTTTCCTGTTTGTTCATTTCTTTCATTTCGCCTTTTGCGCTCAGTCTTCCCTGCATCTTCAGACCTCCACTTAAGAGACCAAATATTGCTGCATAAGTAACTTTTTTCCCCCCCCAATGACCTTTTACCCTAAAATTTGTCTTTTGACTGGCTAAATGCCAGAGGTCTTCTGAGATGACATCATTTGTTTTAGACGTCTGTGGTAGAATTAGACGAGGTTCAAGAAAAATGACTTGTGCATATTCATCATTAAAATCAGAGCTGTAACAGTAAATGTCCCTGACATGCCAATATATTTTTCCCAGTGATCCCTCACATTGGTGGGGTGTCAGAGATTTTCTCGGACAAAGTTAAAGAAATGACTCGGCACACAGGAAAATTGTCTTCAATATCGGCGGGAGGGGATCTCTGAGAGCGAACGACGGTAGTTGCTCCGATGATCACACTCTCGGCTCCCTCTCCACCGGTTCGAACTTTTATTGCAAAATACAAGAAAGACACTGCCCCCGAGATTTGCATACCGCACCCCCCGGTCCGGCCCCTCGGTAGTGATCTGATCTACCCGAATACACAAGTCACAGACTTTGCTGATGACAAATGTCCACCTGGGCGCGACAGCGGTTCCCAAACTGTCTTTTGGTATTCAACAACTCTTTGTTCCCAATTTGTTCATTCCCACTCTGTGATTGAATCTAGCCTTCTTCCATCTGTTCGCCCCCCTTGCTTTGACGTGATTACTCAAGAAAAGGCCCTCCGCCCAAACGGCCGACACCTCTGCGCTGAGTATGTCCAGACATGCCCAAATTAACCGAAACTTTAAACATGATACAATTTTGTTCATAGATTTCTCTATCATGGGGACACAGCAATATTTGTTGCTGTAAAAATTCACGTCACATTTGATTGGATGGAAAGTTTTGCCTTGACACTTTAATGCATAAAATTGTCTGCAACCTTTGAGTTACTCCTTCGATGCAACATTAAACTACGAAATATTGCAGTCAGTTACTCTCTTCACCTGATATTCATTTAGAGGGCTGGTGTAGCGTGCAAAAGTTGCATGGGATTTTTTTTTTTTACATATTTCAGAAGACAAGTTGGTATGACAGTAGAGGCAGGCAACCAGGTCAGCAAATAACATGCATATCATCGCTGTCGGGGAGAATCCACACATCTCCAAAATCATTACAGTTCAAGAAAACATACAGCAACAACAACAAAAAAGTGCCTGGCAATTGTACATTGAGGAACATTGTCCTTAAACTCCTCGACTATTTTCTCACGCAGTTATTCACAAAGAGGTGAACCGTCTTTGCTTGTGAATAACTGAGCAATTCAGGGAAGCTCATTTGATACCCAATTATGGCACCCACTTGTTCCCAGTCAGCCTATTTACCTGTGGGATGTTCCAAACAGGTTTTTGATGAGCATTTCTCGACTTTCTCTGTCGTTTTTTGCCACTTGTCCCATCTTTTTCTGGAACATGTTGCAATCGTAAAATTCGAACTTACCGGTAATGATTATTTGCGAAGAATTGATCAGTTTGAACATGAGATATCTTTGTAGTGTATTCGATTAAATATAGGTTGAGCATGATTTGCAAATCATTGTATTCTGTTTTTAATTTATGTGAAACACAAAATTCCAACTTCATTGGAATTGAGTTTATACCAAAATTCTACTTCCGGTGTCCTACAGGAAGTGCACATAATTGTTTCACCATGAGAGGCAACAGAAATAAGGTGGATATAACCCAACTATATTCACTGGGTCTAGGTCTAAAAACATCCAGACTTTTCTTGAGACAACATAAAGTGACTTGCGTAAATATTCAGCCCCTTTTGAACTTTTTGACCTTTTGTCACATTCCAGGCTTTCAACATAAAGAAATAAAAATAGAATTTTTTGGTGAAGATTCACCACAAACTGCGACACAGTCGTATAATGGAACGAAGTTCATACAATATTTTAAACCTTTTTTTTAAGAAACAGAAAATTGCAACATGATATAATACAACCACTTGACTGTCAGTGCAGCCAACTAACTCCAGAGGTTCACTGAGGATTTTTGAATGTGTGCATGAGACCACCACTGCAAACCTACCAAGACCTGGGCTTCCTTCTAAACTTTCAGCCCGAACAAGGGGAGCACTGATCACAGATTTAGCCAAGAGGCCCATGATCCCTCTGGATGAACTGCAGATGTCCACAGCTGATGTGGGAGAATCTGTTATCCCGTACAACTCTTCGTCGGACACTGCACAAAACTGGCCTTAATGCAAGAGTGGCAAGCATAAAGCCAATTCTCAAAGAAATCGATAAAAAGTCTCATTTGAAGCCACCTGGGATATGTACAACACGTGGAAGAAGGTGCTCTGGTCAGATAAGACGAAAATGCCACTTTTTGGGGGAAAAAAATGAAAGTAACACCGCAGATCACCCTGATCATGGCCCCGGGCTGCTTTTCATCAGCAGGGACAGGGATGACGGATGGAGCCAACTACATGGCCCTTTTGGAAGAAAACTTTGTGGAGTCTGCAAAAGACCAGAGACTGGAATGCAGACAACGATTCTAATGGGACAAAACTAAACATTCTAGTGTTAGAATGGCCAAGTCCAGACTTGAATCCAATTTAAAATCTGTGCAAAACTCTGAAAACTGCTGTTCACAAATGCTCTCCATCTCACCTTACTGAGCTCGAGCTGTTTGCAAGGAATGATAGGCAAAAAATTTAGTCTCTTGATGTGCAAAACTGATTGAGACATACCCCAAAACACTTGCAGCTGTAATCGCAGCAAACGTTGGTTTTACAAAATATGAATTTAGGGGAGCTAAATAATTTGGCATGCCCTGCTTTTAATTTTTTTTTTTAATTAAAAAAAATTGTAAAATATTGAAAGAATTTTGTTTAAGATTGTGTCCCACTTGGTGTTGATTCTTCACAAAAAAATCTAAATTTTATACATTTGTTTGAAGCCTAAAATCTGGCAAATGTCAAAAAGTTCAAGGTGGTCGAATACTTTGTGCAAGCCACTGTACTGCAACAGGCTCCTGAAGATTGATAAAGGGCGAAGTTATATGACACTTCTCGCATTTCAAGTGTCCAATGTAAATCGATCTCTTTTCACACTGTTGTCAACATTTTTAATTTGGTAATGTCTGAAAATAAAAAGTGACAATCGTATTGATCAATTTGTGAACAAATGTAAACCTTATTTAAACACAGGGAATTTCCTCCGGACAGCAGCGATATGCACACTTTAGAGTTATATGAAAATACTTTGACTTCCCAAGGACACTGAGAAGTGACTCATCGCCAAATGCAAGTGTAGAGCCAGTAAATGAGTAGAACTGTTAAGCTCTGTCAAGTTATAGTAAGAGGGATACTAATTACAGTAGTCAGCCAGTATAAGGGTTCAGTCAACGTGGTCTCCTCGTCTCCCTGATAGGCTTGGGTAACTACCCTCAGGACCGCTCTGCCTACGGACCAACGCGTCCTCACACTTATGGTCAGGATGATCAGGGAGGATGTAGTGCAGGTAGGTGCCAGCATCATATTGTCCAACGCCAGAAGTAGCATTTCTTCATTACTGTAGTGTCCGTACTCATACTACAACCGGGTTCTTTGTCTCTTTTGCATGCGCATTCAAATTCTTAAGAGTATGGTAAAGCACGGCCATTGGTTGTGAGCTTATTTGAACGTAATTTGCAATCAAATTTGCTGCCAAAGCTTCAAAAGTATTGTCTCCCTCTGTGGCTATTGCTTTACTATACCAAGACAGCTCCTATTTTTATTCTTTTTTTTTCTTGTCTGCATTGCTTTGCAGCTTACAAAAAAGGATGATCTAATGGTCAGGAATACAGTAGGTTCATGACTCAGTTGTGTTTATGTATCACCGTTTACCCAGTACTTTTTCATTCACGTCCTTCTGCCACATAGTTGAAGTTATCTAAAATGTAGACCAATTTAGAGGACACAATTCCAAGTGTTTAAAGAAACCATCTACTGGTCTTTAGTTTGACATTTTTATTTCTGACTTCATTTTATAGACGTTCAAATGAGAGGATCAAAATGTGGTTTCTCTTTATTGTATTAGTTCATGCCACTCTCATTCCAGTTAGTATAGTTTTTCATGTACAGGTATCTGTGTTTGTGACCTAAAAAACTAGTCTGGTGAAAAGAAACCAAACTCATCCCTCACCCCTAACCAGGAAGATTTAGAGTCTACAAGCTACCTGACTTTTCTTTTTCTGGGCATCTGTGATTCTCATCCAATTTTTAGCGTGATGTTGTCACCAAGTGTCCATGTAGAAGAATGTGAACTGATTGTTCAGGATGCTTCTTGCCCTTTGCGGGCTTTGAATGAAGGTCTTAGGAACATGGTTGGTCCGTATGAGCAAGCAAATATCAGTGATGGCAATTTTCCGCGGATACGCGGAAATCCGCCGTTTTATTTCTTAAATTGATCATTTTTGTGAATCGTCTAAATCCGTTGAGAAAATTTTAGGGGGGGGTCAGGTACCTTATCGTCGAGTTTTCACGAGCTCTCCCGATCAGTTCATCTTCCAATTGTAAACAGCCCTGCGATTGGACGTGTATGATGTCTTACTTGTTGTGATTGGTCGCTATATCGGCAAATACAAATCACAACCAATCCGTGTTCGCCTTCCTAAACCTCTTTCTCGCGAAATGCCGAATGTTATCGAGACTCGCGGCGAAGCTAAAGTGCGTCAGATAGATGCGGCTCTGAAAAACACGTTTCGATGGGACTGGTTGGATAGAAAGCTGACGGTGTCCCCAGTAGGAAACAGTAAAGAGGAACCATTGTGCTTGTGTCGCAGACATTTCTACTGAAAAGTAACTACTCGATCTCAAGCGTTTTTTGACAGCCTGGAGCTTGTGTAAAAACAAGAGGAGTTGGCTAAAAAGAGAGTGGAAAAAGACGGAGAGGACCAATAAGCTTTTAGCGCTTGCTAAAAAACTTAAAATGAAGAGAAAATAAAGTATTCTACCTCATGAAACTGTCTATTGTTGTATATACTGTAAATAGACATCCACTTTATATAATAAAATACATTCATAACCCATATATAGTAAACCGTGTGGGACTTCACTATCACTGTATGAGGTAAGAATCAACAGCTTTTTATCACATTTACACAACACTTTATGAATACAAGTAATGAACAAATCTTAAATATGGCAGGGGATGTGTTTCCTTTTTTAATTTTGATTTTGAGCAGCAAATTTGGAGTTACATATTGGTGCTCAACAGGAATGCATAAGCAAAATTGCACAAATTTTCACTTGAAAGAATAGTGGCAATCTTGGGATTTTTTTCTGTTCAAGTTTCAAATAGTGTGTAAATTCAATACACTTCATCTTCAGCATGTTTAGTGCCACTTTTGTAAGTAACCACGCCCCGTCCAGGCCACGCCCCTTTCCGTTTTTTTTTTTCCATCACTCGCCATTGCCATCACTGAAATATGCAATTAACAGGGAATTTCCTTTATAACTTCAAAAGGGACAATGGCTGTCCTTAATCCGGAAAAGGGTGGAGCCCAAAAATGTTGACCAGAATGAAATCTCTTGACAAAAAAAGGTTTATTTCCCAAAAGGGCGCAAGACCGACAAAATAAAACAGAAGCTGGGACAGGTAGTGAGGAAATCCAATGGTGAGAGAAACACAAAACAAACTCCTCTATAACTTTGCAACTTTAAACAATAACGAAATAAGACTATGGCAAAAACAGAGAACACGAACTTCACTTGGTATGTGGAGCGTGAGCGAGGAAAATAATCTGACAGCGACTTGACAGCAAAGCGATCCTTAAGTAGGAATTGATTACAATGCAAAACAGTTGCATTGCTGGAATGAACACACTCCACTCCATCTGGAGCTGAAAACCAAAACAGAAAAACAGATCAAGACATGACAGCTATAAAGTACTGTCTTTTGATGTAATACTGTTGGAATAAGTGTTGCCCAGTGTATGACATTTTTATACCCTGTGTGTGTGGGTGGGCCGGCGGGTGGGTATGGGTGTGCCCTCCAAATTGTACATATTTTATATGAAGGGCAGCACTGTAGAAGAGTCTACTACAGTTGTGAATGTCAGTTTAAATCTTGGGTCTGCGCTTCCTATGTGGAGGTTGTGTGTTTCACCTGTGCTTGGGGTGCTTTTCTCAGGGTATTTTGTGTGTGTTTATTTTCTTTTTTAATTACTCACGGGCTACCAAAGCTGAGACTTATGACAGCTTTGAGTGAAGCATAATTCAGAAGTGACACCAAGTGAAAGGAAAGATATTCTGTCACCCAGTCTCAATCATGTCTTTTTCAAAACCTGCCATGAAGAGAAAGGTTGGCGACAGGAAAAGACAATTTCAAGCAAAACAGGAGACCTGAATGTTTTTTGGTTGAGTGCACAGTCCAACATGTCTTAAACAGACAAAGAAAGTTGCAGTGCTCAAGAAATCCGACATTGCTCAACTGGACATGCTGAGGAGTATACAAAATACCAGGGAGATGAGAGAAGTGGGTGTCAATCTTGTTCACATTCTGATGAACTGTTATTTAAGAGGAAGTCAACCCCAAATTTTTCTTTCCAAGAATAGTGTATGCTCTTTGAAGCCCCACTAGTCTAAATGCTGTATTCTGAATAATATAGCGTTTGTGGAATGTGAATTGAACAGTACAATCCACCCGTTTTTGTCAAGCTCAGGGGCAGCCATTTTGCCACTTGCCGTTGATTGAAAATGGCATCACAGTTGCTCTGATAACAACCTATCATGGCTCAGCTTCAGAAAACAAGTGAGCTGTGATTGGTTGTTTCCTGACCCATGAGCAACTGCCATGTATTTTCAGTTGACATAAAATGGCTAAATGGCTGACCCCCTGAGATTGCTAAAACCTAGTGAAGATAAGTGGTACAGAGAATGGATGGATGGCTATTTTACATGCTTAGTAATTGTCAGTGGTAAATTGATTTTTATTGTCACCTCAATCCTTCTCGCCCACCACAGGCTACGCTCAGGACCTGACTGCATTCAGCCACACCTTTGCAGACCCGAGTCAGACAACGGCCTCGTATGGCTCAGCGCAGCCCATTGCAGCTCCACAGCCTGCCGCCAGTGCATTTGGTAGAGGGCAGAACCACAACGTACAAGGCTTCCATCCATATCGACGTTGACTGTCAGTTTGGGACAGGGATGTTATGTAAAATTTTACACAAAAATAATCTGGGGGGAGGGGAGAGGGGTGAAGTCAGGGAACCTCGTGTTGGATTGTCCTTTTGGATTATTTTGAATGCGAATTGTGAAATGGAAACCTGCAAGACAGAAGGTCTTCGTTTGTTCAAGAGTTGTACAAATATTTTTTTTTTACCTAATTTATGGAAAATTCATGACGAAATTCAAAGATGCTGTTATGTCCAATAATGTTTTATAGTAGACCTAAAACTACTTTGCAATAATTCTGATTGTCGCGTCAAACACTAGCACATAGACTATATGGAAAGAGACTTGCATATAAATATGTATATTTATGGTTGACACAAATGAAAACAGGGTTTTGCATTTCCCTAGCTTTAAATTCTAGGGAAATTGTTTTTATTTGGTCACTATTGTTTACTTTCTGAGCCTTTCAAGTTTGTTTGAAATTGAGATTATAGATATATATTATACACAAACTGTGCAATTTTTAAAAAAAGGAATTTTGTACTAAAATGTACACTTTGCTTGTTTTGTTTTTATTTAAAGACATAGACTTCCCTCAGGTGGCTGTTTTGGGTGCGTTTTGCACTTATGCAAAAAGGACAACTTATTAAAAAAAAGTTTTAAGGATGTGATTTCTTGAAGGAGCCAATGCTAATCTCATGTGATTTCACTTTATCCATACATACATAGCATTATAAAATTGTGATGCCCTTGTATGCGATTACGAATGACAGTCGCTGATGCACGTTTTATGAACATGAGAGCTAAAAGAACACTCGTTCAAGAGCTGCTATTAGGCCCGCCCACACTCAGTTTCATACAGTACAATATTACTGAACCTAGTATTAAAGAACATTCAAAAGGGACTGAATACAAGTATTAATATGGTGGTGATTCTTTTCATCCAATGTGAAGAGGTTCGACGAGTGTTCCTTTCCGGTCTCGTCTTCCATAAAACCTCATCAAGATGTCGTCGATTTGTGTCATATCCGGGTATTTAGAATCAGGTGACGACTACGATTTTCTGTCATGTCACTGCAGCGAACTTCCTGCCCACTTGGAAGTTAGTTACAGAGATCAACTTGGATCAGGATAAAGTCAAACAAGGTCAGTGCGCGCGAGACCAAAATCCCAAATGTGTTTCAGGGGTTACAACTTTCTTTAAAGTTGTGTTTTGGTAGAGTCGCGAGGTAGCATGTCGTAGCTAGCTGTGAAGAGGCCCATCAGGCATATTTATAGGCACATGACACAATTGCCCGATGTTTTTGGCAATTTTGAATATGTTTTTTTATTGGTTGTCATTGATAACTACTGATATGGACGGTGTGGAGTTAAACTGCACGGTTAGGCATTCGTTGCTTCTACAATGCCTTTGTATCATGAACGGGTTAGGAGGCAATTAATACGTATCAGTTAAAGTCGTTTTAAATGTAATCATTTATTTTACAACAAAATGTTCTTGGTTAAATATAAACTACTCAAAATACACATTACTGCTCAGCAGCATAGGTGGGTAATGCTTGCTTACAAATTTAATGCAACTGCGGATTGTTCATAAAGTTTGGCTTTTTCTTAAACTTGAGAAGTTGCACTGTACTACTTACTAGTAGTGGTAATACGCTTGACAATGTTGGTACTATCATTTATAAGCATCCACGGGTCTGTGAAGGCTTTCTAAATATAAATATGTTATTATTTTACGATTTTGACCGAGTGTTGAAGAATATGAAGACTACCGTATTTTTTTGTTTGTTTCGTAAACTGGTTATTTTCACAATTTCATGAACACAAAGTGCCTATTTGATGAAATCTTTAGTTTGGGACTAAAAAAACCCCCGCCAGTCTAGCGCCGTCTTCAGCATAAACACTGCACCGCATGCGAATTTGGCTTTTTGTCCTCTGGATTTCACTCACATTGAATCCTGACGTAGTTTGTGACCATCTTGTATCAGTTTTCAGGTTAGTGGTTCAAATGTTCACGATCGTGATCTGGCTTCTGCTGTGTTGCAGCAGGCAGAGATGAAAAACATCCAAGACACCGGCCCTCTTGGAACAGGATTGAAGATTTATTTCTTTCAACAATGCTAAATCATGTTTTTAAAATATCTGATAACACATAAATTGCTTGTTATGGGAGTGACCTCTAGTTGGAATTTGTATATACGACCAGTCCTAAGGTGCTGAACAGTTGGCAGTATACAGGGCTTAGTAAAATGTGTAGTGAGTGTGTTACATTTGCCAGAGCACTGACACAGACGTGGAAGTGTCGCCGTCATACAGCAGTCACACAAAGTCAGACTCTAAAGCAAGATTACCTTGCTGTGGACTTCGGGCAGAGTTTAGGCTGAAGAATAGTGGCGCCACAATGAAGCGGCATGCGGACATCTTTTCTGAATGGACCCATCACCACAATAACGGAAACAGTTTACCTGTCGAATGCAAGTGAGCTTAGATTAGATCAGATATATTCTGTGTAATGTTTCAGTTAGACCAGGTTCTTGTCATGCTGGTGGTTTTAACATATATTTTATTTGAATTGATTTTATTTTCCTTATTTATTTTTTAATCTTGTGTTCCTTCATCATCTTTTTTTTCTAGGGATCCAAATCTGGTTCAAGGCCATCGAGCAGTTCATGCACTTTGTTAAGAGGCTGAAAACTGAAGACAAGAAAGAAGACAGCCAGGGCATGTATGGAACATTTGTCATTTCATCAGCCTACATTTGTTTCCTTTGTTGTTAGTGGAACCCTTCAAAGTTGAACCATCATAAAACCTTTATCAACTGTTATCTTGATTGACTTTATGAACTATTTAAAGTAATAATTTTAATGTTTTTAAATATTGTATCTTAGTTAAAGTACAAAGATAACCATTCTATATATTAAAACTAGAGCTGGACGACATAATGATGACTCGTGTCATTCTTCTACTATCATGCCTATCATCTTATGTCATCTGCAGCAAACTGCAGCATATAATAAGCCTGATTTGACGGACAGATAGATGCTTTCATTGCGCCATACTATGCAACACAGCTGCCACCAGGTGGCAGACTGAACAACAATTTGAAGAAGTGAATCATAGTCAACACGTTAAGGTGCAAAATTAAATTTAAGACTCATTGAAAATGAATAAATAACGAGGTGGGTGTGTGCAAATAATGAATACTACTGCTTTGGGAAAGAATAAGTAACAACAAATCCTTAATTATTAATAACTACTTTTTAAAATGTTCTCAAGGCATGCTGGGTACGCCTTTAAACTACACAAGCAAAGCAGTTTGCATTTTGAACCTCAACGAAACATAAAGAAGAAGAATCACACCTGTTTGCATTTCATGACTACATAGCAGCAGCAGAACCACTGCATGCATTTCTCATTTGATAAGGGTCTATTTAATGTCACTTCAAAATAAAGTGAGAAAAGGTAAGCGGTCATGGTGTGTTGTACTGATACGAAAATGAAGCTTCAAATCTGATTCAAATAAAGCTTCAAATCTGGTTCATGAACCAGTTGTATTTTTTTGACTCCTTTACATGGCACTCTCTGTTGAACATTGGGCTGAAAGTACACTGACTCACCATTTCTTAAACTTCTTTATTTAAACCAACAGTGCTATCTAGAGGAGTCAAAAATACAACAACTGGTTCATGAACCAAATTTCAAGGGTCATTTTCCCATCACTTATGTGTAGTATTTAGTATTTTATTTTTAGAGAATAGCTGACAGTGTATCATGGTTTAATGTTATCGCGATATAAAATGGCCAAGAAGATTTTTTTCCATGTGGCCCAGCACAAATTAAAACAAAAATAAATGACTCACCCTCTGATGATAACTAACAGAGAAATAATGGAGAAGGAACAGTAAAGTGTCACAAAATCACAAATTGACAATTTACAGGTATTGCTGGAATTAATACACGAGTTAACACATCTTTTGCTTTCTGTTTACTTAATAGGTATGGACTGTTAATGAGCAGCCAGACTCTTTCCTTTGTTGCTTTGACGTCAGTATTACCCTTTCTGTGGCATTACAAACAGCCTAAGAAAAAGATCCTACTAATGCCCACCGAGCTAAAGTTCCAAGAGATTTGCTGACGTCTCGCGGGACTGTTGAACCACAGTTATAATCGTCTTGAATTATTCAATGATGTTTTTTTTTTTCATCCATCTATTATCTTATCCGCTTATCCTCAAGAGGGTCGCAGGCATGCCGGAGCCTATCGCTGCTGTCTTGGGGCGGTAGGCATGGTATACCCTGAACCGGTTGCCCGTCAATCACAGTGTACACATAGACAAACAACCATTCCCGCTCACACTCACACCTAGGGACAATTTCGAGTCAACCTCCCATGCATGTTTTTGGAATGCGGGAGGAAAGTGGAGTCCCCAAAGAAAACCCACGCAGGCATGGGGAGAACATGCAAACTTCACACAGGAAGGCCGGAGCCGGAATTAAACCCTGCACCTCCGCTCTGCGAGGCGGATGTGCGAACCAGTAGACTACTAAGCCGCCTGGTTTTGACTTTTGTTGTTTCATTTCAGTTACCTTTAATTAGTTTTTTAAATTAGTTTTATTAGTTTTTATTTTTTCAAAAATGCTTTGAGTTTGTTTTCAAAGGTTAAGTAAAGGTAAACTACAATTCTCAAATGACTGTCTGACCTCCCTTCTTCTGTGCGGACGTACAACAGCAATACTGTACTTAAATACATTTTAAATGAAATCCGAAAGTACATGTATATTTATTAACAAAGATGAAAGATGAAGGACATAGTTTTATAAATGTAACATGTAGTTTCAATTAGGTTTTTTTTTTTAGATTTTAGTTATTATTTCATTAATTGAATATGTTCATTTTAATTTTAAGTCCAGTGGTTAGCACGTCGACTTCACAGTGCAGAGGTGCCGGGTTCGAATCCAGCTCCGGCCTCCCTGTGTGGAGTTTGCATGTTCTCCCCGGGCCTGCGTGGGTTTTCTCCGGGTACTCTTGAATATGTTCATTTTAATTTTAGTCATTTTCTAACTATAATAACCAAGTTTGTACTTTGTGAGGTGACTTTTCTGTGGTCGAGATTTCCCAGAATGTTCTTCTGAAGCATTTGAGTTTGGAGGTTCTACTTGTGTCTGCCTCAAATCTCTGCGTAATTTTCTCTTTTTCACTTAATCTCTGCTTGTAATTTGAATGTATGTCCACAGCATTAGAGAGGCACTGGCAGGCATGCCGGTGTTTGACGAACTCTCTGACAGCACAGAGGTTGTGGAGATGGAGGATGTGACTTCAACCCACTTTCAGGTGCAAAAGCACACGTGGGTTGGTCTGCGTAAAATCATTCACGACGGACGCAAGAACATAGGCTTTCTCGTCAACAAGGCGCCATATGACTTCGTGTTTGTCCAGAAGGGGGAACCCAACACACATTCCCATCGGCTCTATTACCTCGGTAAGATGGATCAAAGAAAAGCTGGGGCCCAAAAAGATTGTTTCAATAACTTGTCTTTCTCAAGCAGAACTGATAACGTGACACATTGCAAAAAGAACTGAAAAATGAATGGATTTGAATGTTTAGGGTCGGGTGTCCAATCTTTTTCTAGCTCTGATGGCCACATACAGAAAAATGTAAGAATCTGTGAGAGCTACATTGGCATTTTTTCGTATGAAACGTGCTAAAACCATCAAGCAGTTATTTTTTCATGTGATATTGTTGGTTTGAAAAACTGCTACATCACAGCTTTCGTTAAAATGTTTTAAGACAAATCCAGTAGTTGAGATTTTTTTTCAGGATTTTTGGGTGTCACGTGTCCCTTTATCTCACTCAAATAGTTCCACTGCGGCCAAATCACATCTCGACATTCAGAACCAAAATAAGAGCAGTTTGTAGTGAGTGAACGCATTTTTAAAATGACATTTTCTTCAGGATGATATCTCATGAACCCTACACTTTTTCAATGCCTGTACTTTTCACACTGCCCTCATTTTTTAGTATATGCCGCAGGGCGTTAAGAAATGTATGATGGGCTCCAAATGGCTCGCGTGCCAGACTTTGGTAGTTTTGGTGCTATGTGCGAGCCATTGGGCTCACCAGCACATCCAGTGGCAAGATTATAAACTTGCTTTTTTCCCTCGTCTCACAGGTACGCCTTACCGCAAAAGGGATAACGCCTTACTGTACTCTGACATTCCCAAGAAGGTACACAAGGATGTCCTTCTCATTCTGTCATGGAAACCTCTGCTGGATCACTTTCAGGTGTGCATGTTTTTCTTTCAATACCCTTATTTTAGTAATAATTGCCTCAGTAGTCGTCGTAGAATAAGGAATTATTTTGAAGATGCACTGTATGAACACAATAATTGGGATAGCTAGTCCTTTCACCAACAAAAGGTGTTTGACTTTTCTTTTCTACTATTTTGTTCGATGTACCAACTAGTGTTGTCCTGATCAGGGGCGATCCCGTGATTTTTGGATGATTGCACTCAGCTGAAAAATTTTTTTTTTTTAAATGTTCTTAATTTCTAAAATCAAGAATGGAATATTTTTTAGTTATTTACTGGTACTTGATTTGAATCACTGCTCATGATCCTGTGAAGGCGCTCGCTCCCTTTTGGACTCAGCTTAGGGTTCACCATGTTACCCTCTTCAGGTTGCTTTTAACCCAACATTTTCAGGAGGATACAGTATATTGTTCTAACCTGTGCAATGAAGACATCGGGCTATTTTATTGGAATCAATGGTGAATTCATGCCACTCTGAATATATTGCGGTAATGTTTTCTTTTGTTGTTCTATGTGCCAAAACAAACAGTTTCTTTGTTGGCCATCTTGTTGATGAGCGTGTCGTGTCTCCCATCATCTCAGGCCAGCCCTCACCCCAACATTTTCTCAAGAGAGGAGGAGCTGCTGCGAGAGAGGAAGCGCTTAGGGGTGTCAGGCATCACATCCTATGACTACCACCGATCTACGGGACTTTTTTTGTTCCAGGCCAACAGCAGTCTGTACTACTGTGTAGACGGGTCAAATGATAATTTCACGGTGAGTTCCAAAATCGTAACATGCTTTCAACACCATGTAGACCAGGTGTTGGCAATCTGGATACGGCTCTTTGATCTTCATGTTGTGGCTTCCTGTTACAAATGTATGTCTTAATTTGACAACTATAGTGTTCTTGTGATATTAAACCAAAACAGTTTTATTTATTTATTATTTATTTGGTCGCTCAAAATATGTGTCGCAGCCACCAATGCACATTGCCTGGCTCCATGATTCATTAAGCTGTTCGCCTGAACAAATCCAAGAAATATTTTTTTGAAAGAAAACAGTCCACTGTTGATTGGTTGGCTCCCTTTGGATCATATAAGTTTGACTTTCATTTCATTTCATGAATTTGCACATAAATAATAGTGACGGAACACAGACACAGACGCCATTTTTGGTTGGCTCCCTTTGGATCATAAAAGTCTGACTTTCATTTCATAAATACAAGGTGCAATCAAATGGACATTGGTTCTTTAATTTGACAGTAAGCCTCAACCAAGTGTTTTTTCCTGAGTTTGGAATACAAACAGAAATACAAATTCCATGTTTTTTGTAGCAGCTCATTGATTTCATAAATGCAACATGCATTTTTTTTTTTTTACACGTATGCAGTGCTGCTGCTGTCACTTTTGATATCAAAATAGTTTTATGGCTCCTGGTGAATTTGTGTATTTACGATTGCAAACCCCTGATGTAGACCAATAGGAGTGTGGGAAAAAAATGACTTAAACTTGAGAAGTTGCACTGTACTACTTACTAGTAGTGGTAATACGCTTGACAATGTTGGTACTATCATTTATAAGCATCCACGGGTCTGTGAAGGCTTTCTAAATATAAATATGTTATTATTTTACGATTTTGACCGAGTGTTGAAGAATATGAAGACTACCGTATTTTTTTGTTTGTTTCGTAAACTGGTTATTTTCACAATTTCATGAACACAAAGTGCCTATTTGATGAAATCTTTAGTTTGGGACTAAAAAAACCCCCGCCAGTCTAGCGCCGTCTTCAGCATAAACACTGCACCGCATGCGAATTTGGCTTTTTGTCCTCTGGATTTCACTCACATTGAATCCTGACGTAGTTTGTGACCATCTTGTATCAGTTTTCAGGTTAGTGGTTCAAATGTTCACGATCGTGATCTGGCTTCTGCTGTGTTGCAGCAGGCAGAGATGAAAAACATCCAAGACACCGGCCCTCTTGGAACAGGATTGAAGATTTATTTCTTTCAACAATGCTAAATCATGTTTTTAAAATATCTGATAACACATAAATTGCTTGTTATGGGAGTGACCTCTAGTTGGAATTTGTATATACGACCAGTCCTAAGGTGCTGAACAGTTGGCAGTATACAGGGCTTAGTAAAATGTGTAGTGAGTGTGTTACATTTGCCAGAGCACTGACACAGACGTGGAAGTGTCGCCGTCATACAGCAGTCACACAAAGTCAGACTCTAAAGCAAGATTACCTTGCTGTGGACTTCGGGCAGAGTTTAGGCTGAAGAATAGTGGCGCCACAATGAAGCGGCATGCGGACATCTTTTCTGAATGGACCCATCACCACAATAACGGAAACAGTTTACCTGTCGAATGCAAGTGAGCTTAGATTAGATCAGATATATTCTGTGTAATGTTTCAGTTAGACCAGGTTCTTGTCATGCTGGTGGTTTTAACATATATTTTATTTGAATTGATTTTATTTTCCTTATTTATTTTTTAATCTTGTGTTCCTTCATCATCTTTTTTTTCTAGGGATCCAAATCTGGTTCAAGGCCATCGAGCAGTTCATGCACTTTGTTAAGAGGCTGAAAACTGAAGACAAGAAAGAAGACAGCCAGGGCATGTATGGAACATTTGTCATTTCATCAGCCTACATTTGTTTCCTTTGTTGTTAGTGGAACCCTTCAAAGTTGAACCATCATAAAACCTTTATCAACTGTTATCTTGATTGACTTTATGAACTATTTAAAGTAATAATTTTAATGTTTTTAAATATTGTATCTTAGTTAAAGTACAAAGATAACCATTCTATATATTAAAACTAGAGCTGGACGACATAATGATGACTCGTGTCATTCTTCTACTATCATGCCTATCATCTTATGTCATCTGCAGCAAACTGCAGCATATAATAAGCCTGATTTGACGGACAGATAGATGCTTTCATTGCGCCATACTATGCAACACAGCTGCCACCAGGTGGCAGACTGAACAACAATTTGAAGAAGTGAATCATAGTCAACACGTTAAGGTGCAAAATTAAATTTAAGACTCATTGAAAATGAATAAATAACGAGGTGGGTGTGTGCAAATAATGAATACTACTGCTTTGGGAAAGAATAAGTAACAACAAATCCTTAATTATTAATAACTACTTTTTAAAATGTTCTCAAGGCATGCTGGGTACGCCTTTAAACTACACAAGCAAAGCAGTTTGCATTTTGAACCTCAACGAAACATAAAGAAGAAGAATCACACCTGTTTGCATTTCATGACTACATAGCAGCAGCAGAACCACTGCATGCATTTCTCATTTGATAAGGGTCTATTTAATGTCACTTCAAAATAAAGTGAGAAAAGGTAAGCGGTCATGGTGTGTTGTACTGATACGAAAATGAAGCTTCAAATCTGATTCAAATAAAGCTTCAAATCTGGTTCATGAACCAGTTGTATTTTTTTGACTCCTTTACATGGCACTCTCTGTTGAACATTGGGCTGAAAGTACACTGACTCACCATTTCTTAAACTTCTTTATTTAAACCAACAGTGCTATCTAGAGGAGTCAAAAATACAACAACTGGTTCATGAACCAAATTTCAAGGGTCATTTTCCCATCACTTATGTGTAGTATTTAGTATTTTATTTTTAGAGAATAGCTGACAGTGTATCATGGTTTAATGTTATCGCGATATAAAATGGCCAAGAAGATTTTTTTCCATGTGGCCCAGCACAAATTAAAACAAAAATAAATGACTCACCCTCTGATGATAACTAACAGAGAAATAATGGAGAAGGAACAGTAAAGTGTCACAAAATCACAAATTGACAATTTACAGGTATTGCTGGAGTTAACACATCTTTTGCTTTCTGTTTACTTAATAGGTATGGACTGTTAATGAGCAGCCAGACTCTTTCCTTTGTTGCTTTGACGTCAGTATTACCCTTTCTGTGGCATTACAAACAGCCTAAGAAAAAGATCCTACTAATGCCCACCGAGCTAAAGTTCCAAGAGATTTGCTGACGTCTCGCGGGACTGTTGAACCACAGTTATAATCGTCTTGAATTATTCAATGATGTTTTTTTTTTTCATCCATCTATTATCTTATCCGCTTATCCTCAAGAGGGTCGCAGGCATGCCGGAGCCTATCGCTGCTGTCTTGGGGCGGTAGGCATGGTATACCCTGAACCGGTTGCCCGTCAATCACAGTGTACACATAGACAAACAACCATTCCCGCTCACACTCACACCTAGGGACAATTTCGAGTCAACCTCCCATGCATGTTTTTGGAATGCGGGAGGAAAGTGGAGTCCCCAAAGAAAACCCACGCAGGCATGGGGAGAACATGCAAACTTCACACAGGAAGGCCGGAGCCGGAATTAAACCCTGCACCTCCGCTCTGCGAGGCGGATGTGCGAACCAGTAGACTACTAAGCCGCCTGGTTTTGACTTTTGTTGTTTCATTTCAGTTACCTTTAATTAGTTTTTTAAATTAGTTTTATTAGTTTTTATTTTTTCAAAAATGCTTTGAGTTTGTTTTCAAAGGTTAAGTAAAGGTAAACTACAATTCTCAAATGACTGTCTGACCTCCCTTCTTCTGTGCGGACGTACAACAGCAATACTGTACTTAAATACATTTTAAATGAAATCCGAAAGTACATGTATATTTATTAACAAAGATGAAAGATGAAGGACATAGTTTTATAAATGTAACATGTAGTTTCAATTAGGTTTTTTTTTTTAGATTTTAGTTATTATTTCATTAATTGAATATGTTCATTTTAATTTTAGTCATTTTCTAACTATAATAACCAAGTTTGTACTTTGTGAGGTGACTTTTCTGTGGTCGAGATTTCCCAGAATGTTCTTCTGAAGCATTTGAGTTTGGAGGTTCTACTTGTGTCTGCCTCAAATCTCTGCGTAATTTTCTCTTTTTCACTTAATCTCTGCTTGTAATTTGAATGTATGTCCACAGCATTAGAGAGGCACTGGCAGGCATGCCGGTGTTTGACGAACTCTCTGACAGCACAGAGGTTGTGGAGATGGAGGATGTGACTTCAACCCACTTTCAGGTGCAAAAGCACACGTGGGTTGGTCTGCGTAAAATCATTCACGACGGACGCAAGAACATAGGCTTTCTCGTCAACAAGGCGCCATATGACTTCGTGTTTGTCCAGAAGGGGGAACCCAACACACATTCCCATCGGCTCTATTACCTCGGTAAGATGGATCAAAGAAAAGCTGGGGCCCAAAAAGATTGTTTCAATAACTTGTCTTTCTCAAGCAGAACTGATAACGTGACACATTGCAAAAAGAACTGAAAAATGAATGGATTTGAATGTTTAGGGTCGGGTGTCCAATCTTTTTCTAGCTCTGATGGCCACATACAGAAAAATGTAAGAATCTGTGAGAGCTACATTGGCATTTTTTCGTATGAAACGTGCTAAAACCATCAAGCAGTTATTTTTTCATGTGATATTGTTGGTTTGAAAAACTGCTACATCACAGCTTTCGTTAAAATGTTTTAAGACAAATCCAGTAGTTGAGATTTTTTTTCAGGATTTTTGGGTGTCACGTGTCCCTTTATCTCACTCAAATAGTTCCACTGCGGCCAAATCACATCTCGACATTCAGAACCAAAATAAGAGCAGTTTGTAGTGAGTGAACGCATTTTTAAAATGACATTTTCTTCAGGATGATATCTCATGAACCCTACACTTTTTCAATGCCTGTACTTTTCACACTGCCCTCATTTTTTAGTATATGCCGCAGGGCGTTAAGAAATGTATGATGGGCTCCAAATGGCTCGCGTGCCAGACTTTGGTAGTTTTGGTGCTATGTGCGAGCCATTGGGCTCACCAGCACATCCAGTGGCAAGATTATAAACTTGCTTTTTTCCCTCGTCTCACAGGTACGCCTTACCGCAAAAGGGATAACGCCTTACTGTACTCTGACATTCCCAAGAAGGTACACAAGGATGTCCTTCTCATTCTGTCATGGAAACCTCTGCTGGATCACTTTCAGGTGTGCATGTTTTTCTTTCAATACCCTTATTTTAGTAATAATTGCCTCAGTAGTCGTCGTAGAATAAGGAATTATTTTGAAGATGCACTGTATGAACACAATAATTGGGATAGCTAGTCCTTTCACCAACAAAAGGTGTTTGACTTTTCTTTTCTACTATTTTGTTCGATGTACCAACTAGTGTTGTCCTGATCAGGGGCGATCCCGTGATTTTTGGATGATTGCACTCAGCTGAAAAATTTTTTTTTTTTAAATGTTCTTAATTTCTAAAATCAAGAATGGAATATTTTTTAGTTATTTACTGGTACTTGATTTGAATCACTGCTCATGATCCTGTGAAGGCGCTCGCTCCCTTTTGGACTCAGCTTAGGGTTCACCATGTTACCCTCTTCAGGTTGCTTTTAACCCAACATTTTCAGGAGGATACAGTATATTGTTCTAACCTGTGCAATGAAGACATCGGGCTATTTTATTGGAATCAATGGTGAATTCATGCCACTCTGAATATATTGCGGTAATGTTTTCTTTTGTTGTTCTATGTGCCAAAACAAACAGTTTCTTTGTTGGCCATCTTGTTGATGAGCGTGTCGTGTCTCCCATCATCTCAGGCCAGCCCTCACCCCAACATTTTCTCAAGAGAGGAGGAGCTGCTGCGAGAGAGGAAGCGCTTAGGGGTGTCAGGCATCACATCCTATGACTACCACCGATCTACGGGACTTTTTTTGTTCCAGGCCAACAGCAGTCTGTACTACTGTGTAGACGGGTCAAATGATAATTTCACGGTGAGTTCCAAAATCGTAACATGCTTTCAACACCATGTAGACCAGGTGTTGGCAATCTGGATACGGCTCTTTGATCTTCATGTTGTGGCTTCCTGTTACAAATGTATGTCTTAATTTGACAACTATAGTGTTCTTGTGATATTAAACCAAAACAGTTTTATTTATTTATTATTTATTTGGTCGCTCAAAATATGTGTCGCAGCCACCAATGCACATTGCCTGGCTCCATGATTCATTAAGCTGTTCGCCTGAACAAATCCAAGAAATATTTTTTTGAAAGAAAACAGTCCACTGTTGATTGGTTGGCTCCCTTTGGATCATATAAGTTTGACTTTCATTTCATTTCATGAATTTGCACATAAATAATAGTGACGGAACACAGACACAGACGCCATTTTTGGTTGGCTCCCTTTGGATCATAAAAGTCTGACTTTCATTTCATGAATACAAGGTGCAATCAAATGGACATTGGTTCTTTAATTTGACAGTAAGCCTCAACCAAGTGTTTTTTCCTGAGTTTGGAATACAAACAGAAATACAAATTCCATGTTTTTTGTAGCAGCTCATTGATTTCATAAATGCAACATGCATTTTTTTTTTTTTACACGTATGCAGTGCTGCTGCTGTCACTTTTGATATCAAAATAGTTTTATGGCTCCTGGTGAATTTGTGTATTTAAGATTGCAAACCCCTGATGTAGACCAATAGGAGTGTGGGAAAAAAATGAAGCAGTTCTGCTTGGAATCACACAAACTTTTTTATTCTGTATTTGTGTTTGGTGTTGTCCCTCACTTTGCACCTGGAAACTTGACTCAATATTTACCAGTACTCAGGGCTAATTCTTTTGAGCTTTGGCAAATACGTTTCAGGTATCAACATAGACAAAAAAGGTAACTTCCCTGTGCCACTCAAAACAACTACTTCTTTACTGTATTTATTAATAGCAGTAAAGACATCCTTATACATACTGTACATTGGATTTATGGTAAAATTTGTTAGCGATTTATGCATCCAAAAGGATTTTGTAGGTTACTTGAACCTGGTTGTAGCAAGTGTACATATTCCGTTTTCAGTTTTAGTTCAGTTGTTGCTCTGTTTGCATGCAGCAAGGTCCACTGGACCCTTGTGAAATTAAGAGTCAATGTTCGGGTGCACGCATGGATGCCAAAATCTGCCCAGCTGACTCAAACTTCATCAGCTTTGTCCACAAAAATGACATATGGCTGACCAGCATCAAGACAAGTGAAGAGAAGCGGCTCACCTTCTGCCATAAAGGTCTGAAAGAAGCTTTATAATAATATAAGATTGCATTGCTTCAGTGGTGCAAATTATGGCCTTTGAAATGTCATTTCAGGCATTGATAAACCAAACGAGGATGCCAAAACCGCTGGTGTAGCCTCTTTTGTCATTCAAGAAGAATTTGATCGTTTCACTGGATATTGGTGGTGTCCAGCTGCACAAAATGGTGAGCAATGTACCCCATGTCATAGCTTGCAAGACATGTCTTTGTTAATCTCGTGCAATGTAATGTGTGTTCCATGTCTTTTCCCCCCGTGCTTTTATTGGCGTCTCAGAATCAGATGGTGGAAAAACACTGACGATTTTGTATGAGGAAGTGGATGAGTCGGAGGTTGACATCATTCACGTCCCATCTCCAGCTCTGGAAGAATGTAGCACTGACGTGTACAGATATCCACGCGCAGGTACTTTTTTCCAGAAAAAGATTAATGTTTGTGGTTAGCAAATATTTTTGTTTCTTTATTTTTACTCTCTCTCGGTTGTTGTAATCCACTGGGCTACTTATTATTCATGTGTCCAGCACTGTTTAAGTCTAAGAAAGATCTCCCATGATTTACCATCAAGTTCATGAAGGTGCAGTTTACACATTCCCCCACAAGAGGGAGCAACCACTGATTGTTCGGCTATCATTTTTGTGCATTGAATGCATTCGGAACACCTGCAGTTGTCTTAATTTTGACATCATTGCTCAATAAGTTTATTTTTTGTCAGTGTTGAGTCTTAAAGCTTCATTAATATGTGTTTTGACTCTGTAATGCTAGTATATATAGTGCTTGTATTTAATTGTGCTTATTTCTAGGCAGCAAGAATCCAGTTATTACCCTGAAATTAGCTGAAATCAAGATAGACAGTCTTGGCAATGTGAGTTCTCTCTTTTTTTTTTTTTTTAATAAAGGAGTGGATTTTTTTTTTTTGTCATCCAATTTAGATTGCTTCCCATTAAAATAGATGCTGTCCAGTCAATACAGCACTGGTAATAAAAATGACCAATATTTTCTCGCTAGATTGTCAGCACACAGCTGAAAGAGTTGCTTGTGCCCTTTACGACCTTGTTCCCCAATGCTGAATACATCACCCGAGCTGGATGGACTAAAGATGGTCGATAGTAAGTTCCCTTACAGAAAGGTGGAAAAAATAAACGGTATTATCGTGATTGTTGCTCTACAAAAATGAATGCTTACTCTGATGAAGTTGATATGATGCCTCTTGGTCACTCTACTTTGTCAGTGCATGGGTAACATTGATGAACCGACGGCAGCAGCGTCTCCAGTTAGTTCTGTTGCCTTTGTCGCTCTTCATTCCTGTGGACCAGAATGACACCACCAGACTGGAGAGCCTGGAGGCTGTTGGGGACACGGCTCATCCACTCATCATTTACCAACAAAGCAGCGACATATGGATAAATGTATGTGCTTATTTGGAATACGTGGACCTGCATCACACACGTAATAGTGACATAAGAGAAAGCTGCAATTTGTTTTTTTGTAGGTCCATGATATCTTCTACCCATTCAGTCAAAGCAGTGACGACGAGATCACATTTATTACTGTAAACGAGTCCAAAACAGGTTTCTGCCACCTATACAAGGTCACCACGCTGTTAGATCGTGGTAGTTACAGCTGGACTGGAGGCTACACACACTCTGAAGGTATCGTTGTGGTAAATCTAAATATAGATCTAACTCTCAAACGTTACATGATTTTCTATGTTAACTGACTTATCGTAAGAATTTCTCTGTTGCTATTCTCCCCCATCACCAGATCATTTCAAATGTCCAATCAAGGAGGAGGTGGCATTGACGAGTGGAGAGTGGGAGGTGTTGGCCAATCACGGATCAAAGGTGTCTTTACATGTGCATATGTGGGCAAAATATTTTACAAGCAGTGTTATAAACTATGCCGTGCATATTAGTCAACTTTGGGGGAATAAATTGCCCTTGGATGTGAGTGTGTTTGCCTCTATTTACACTGCGATTAACTGGCGACCAGTCCAGGGTGCACCTCACCTGTTGCCCAAAGTCAGCTGGGGCTACAGCTCACATGTGACCCTAATGCGGACAAGATGAAAGCTAAAGAAAGTGAAGTGCGGTCATGAACACAAATTGGCATTAAACACATTTGGAGTCAGCAGTGGCACATTTGCCTGAGACAGGATAGGCCGCATGTAAAAGGGCTTGAAAAAGAGGGTGAAAGGTGTGCTGTAATTCTTGATTCTTGTGGTATTTCAACAAATTGTGAAATGTTACCTGGGAGCTGTTTTCATACGAGGAAAATTTGCATGTGTTTTATTTTGTGTCTTCACATACTGCATGCTCAATTGTTGGTGTAGGAATACTGTTATTATTCTACATTAAGCTAAACTAACATGACCTCTACAAAGTATTAATTTGGATTAAATATGTAAAGCTATAGAATGTACGCTTCCATGAGCTGTATAAATAATGTTGCCTTGCCTTTTAGTTACAGTCGCACATATGTTACAGAAACTTGCTCAATAATGTATTATATGAACAAACACAAAAATGATTCTGATGTTTTCCCCTCTTTTTCTGTGCTATGCCTCATTGTGTTTGATGCAGCGGTTGTCCAGCCTTCAGATTTGGGTTGATGAGACCGAAAAGCTGGTATACTTCCAGGGAACCAAAGACTCACCCCTGGAGCACCACTTATATGTCGTGAGCTATGAGTCACCGGGAGAAATTGTGCAACTCACTAAGCCTGGTTTCTCGCACAGCTGCTCTGTGAGCCCCGTACGTATACACAACAGACCACAACACACAAAAGCCTATCCGGAAGGGATGGTTTAACGTGATAATGCCAATTTTATGTACAGACTACATAACAAATTGAAAAAAAAACTATCAAGCACTGCTAAACCCCATTCAAACAGAACACAGTTTATAGACACAAAGTTAGGGTTGACCAATGTGGTATTATGGGTCAAGAGCTCTCAAATGTGTTGAAACTCCCCCTCATTTGTCCAATCGCACAGACATTTGACATGTTTGTGACCGACCACAGCAGCCTGACCAGCACACCTTGCGTCCATGTCTACAAGCTGAACAGGACAGACGGCAACCCGCTGCACAAAGAGCCGGAATTCTGGGCAAGTCTGATGGAGACTGCAGGTACTGAACGACTTGTTTCTTTGAAATCTGAAGTGCAGTGTTATAGGGATCGAGCCCTGCCGCAAATAGCAAAAATGTACTAGTATTTAATGCCACCTCTAAAAACATTTAAAATTGTCTATGAATGCTGTAAGATGGTGGTGCCGGCAAAGCACTACTTTTCTATTAGACAGAGCTATGGCTTGACTAAATGATGAAAGCAATTCATTTACTTTCGACAAAGCTTTGACCTGAGCACACAGACAAACAATATGGGATTTTTTTTTCAATAAATAACAGAATAGATTAAAAGGAAAATGTTTCAGCAAATTGGTGAATTGGGAAATAAGGGAAATTGCAAATACAGACGCTCCCCAACTTACGAACATCCGAGTTACGAACAATGGCACATACGAACATTTTTACGGGTATGTCGAAAAAGAAAAGAAAAAGTTAGATTTTGTAATGCGCGCCTTTTTCCGAGTACAGTACAGGTGTAGTGCTTCTTTCCGCTGCTAATACCGACGTGAGGCGCTGTGAGAGCTCGCCCAGCATCTATCCCGAATCCGGCTTCCTCTGCCCAGTTGTTAAATATCTCCTGCATCCATTATTCAATATGGTTGGTGAAAAGCGAAAGGCTTCTAGTGAGAGTGGAAGTGTAAAGAAGAGGCAAGCCATTTCATTTCAAATGAAAGTGGCAATAATAAAGAACCTTGATGCGGGTGAGAAAATGGTGAGCGTTGCATGTGCATACAACATGAATCGTTCGACCATCGGTACCATTTATAAACAGAAAGATCGCATAATGGAACACGTGAAAGGTGCAGTGCCGATGCATTCGACGATCATTAGCAAATAAACATACTTATATAAGCCTTAAACATACATTCCATACAAAATATAGCACTGAAGCAACTTACGAACGAATTCACCTTACGAACAATCGTTCGGAACGTATCTCGTTCGTAAGCTGGGGAGCGTCTGTATACAAGGGAAACTGTATGTCTGTTTTATCTTTTAACACAATTTTCATGTTCTATTCAAACTTTTTGACACTACGATTCCCCTGCTTTTACTTTCAGGTTACCCACCTAATTACAGTCATCCTGAGATTTTTAGCTTCTTGGGGAAGTCTGGCTTTCAGCTTTATGGTCTCTTGTACAAGCCACACACTTTGCTCCCAGGGAGGAAATATCCCACCGTTGTCTTTGTCTATGGTGGTCCACAGGTTTGAGCTCTTCTTTCTACCTGGAAACAGTTAAACACACACCTTCTTTTATCGCATTCATATATTTTTTTCTGTAGTCAACAACAGTTTGGACTTCAATGCTCTTCATATTGTTTTGTTTTAATGTAGGACCTGAATTGTAACATGTTACTTTTTTTCAGGTCCAGTTGGTAAATAACTCGTATAAAGGCTTAAAATACCATCTGATGAGCAGGTTGGCCTCTCTAGGTTACGTCGTGATCATCGTTGATGGACGGGGTTCCTGTCAGCGTGGACTTAAGTTTGAAGGAGCTGTGAAGGACAAAGTGGTATTTACCTTTGAATTCATATGAGAGGGAAGCACGTCAGCTAAAGTCATGACTGATACACTCTCGTGTTCTTTACTCTTTAGACCAAATGTATTGCATAATGGTAACCGTTGGTCCATTCTATGCCCTCGTCTTCCTTCATCAGGGTCAGGTGGAGATTGAAGACCAGGTGGAGGGTTTGCACTATATAGCGGACAAGTACAAGTTTGTGGACTTGAATCGCGTTGCCATCCACGGCTGGTCCTACGGAGGCTTTCTCTCTCTCATGGGCCTCATTCACAGACCTGACATCTTCAAGGTAAGCAGAACAGCCAGCCATTCACCGTTAATGCTATTGAGAAATACATGTGCAATGAGAACTTAATGGTATAAAAACAGTTTTTCTCCTAACATCAGATTCTTGACTCTTTAGAGTGAGTGGACAGAAGACTTATTAATGGTCTGTTTAGGTTGCCATTGCAGGGGCTCCGGTGACATTGTGGATGGCTTATGACACTGGATACACAGAGCGGTATTTGGATACTCCTGAAAACAATCCGAAAGGCTACGAGGCTTGCTCAGTTGCACTTCACGTCAACAAGTTCCCTAATGAGTAAGCGCATTCATTTCCAAATATATCGCTTGTTGTTCTCATGGCTATATTAGTATATTAATAGAGAAACCATCAGAAAGTTCAATGCTCCACAGATGTTTCAAACGTGACGTTATGTCACAGAAGAGTATCTTCTGCTTTATAAATCACATTTAATCAGTTTAACCTGCTTGATGCGCTGTCATGTAGATTTCTTATTTAAACTTTGTAATGAAAAATGTATCATTGTCAGACTTTCTTTGGCTGATGCTCAATTCTGTGCTATGATTTTTTTGTGTATGTACATTGACGAATCTCATTTGCAACCAATGACAGTATTGTGTAGTAGACAGAGATAAAGTAGTCAAGTTGTTGCTATCTCTCTGCAAAGGAAAAAAAAGAAGAGTTGTTGATCACAAACAAAGCAGCCCTTGCGCCGGCTCTTTGAAGTGAATTGCGAGCGCCATTCTCATCGTTCACTTCAAATAGACCGTACGTGATTGCACAATACGTGTGTCGGCATCTGTGACTGCGAGGGCAGCAGTTACAGCACACAAAGGCAGGAGAGAGACGATAAAGGAACAGACATTCTGGACACATTTAAACTTGATTGCCAATACAGAGGCAGAGTCTGGAAAGGAAAAAAAAAAGTTCATATAATATTGGTGCCAAGTGTCTGTGATGTTGCTACTGATGCACATTTGTACACATAATTTTTTATTTTTTTATCACTTTTGCAAACCAATTAATTTAAGTAACAACAATCTTAGTAGCCGTTTGGGAGCTGAAAGTGAGCACAGTCAAAAGATCCGGTTCTCGAAAAAAGAGTCGTAATTCCCATCACTACCTCACATTGGTGACTGAAAGTACCTTTGAAGAGTACCTTCTCCAGACTGCTTGTTTCTAACAAATCCATTAGGGTGTACGATAAGGCCATTTATGTTGAGCGCTGTATAAGATGCCAAATGCTGAATCTTGCTGTTCAACCCACACAGACCAAACAGACTGCTGATCCTGCATGGATTTCTTGACGAGAATGTCCACTTTTTCCACACAAACTTTCTGGTATCCCAACTCATCCGGGCAGGGAAACCGTACAGCCTTCAGGTGGGAGCATTTGCTCACGTGACATCTTGTTTTAGTTTGCCATTGGGAGTCACAATCAATGAACCAGTTCTCCACTCATCTAATACTGTACTTCAACCCAACACTGTTTTGGAAAGTGGGCAAAAGTATTTGATTATTTCCTTCTAACCGAACAAAGGAACTAACTCAAATGAATCCGGAAAAACTTTTAACGTTTTGCTCACCATTTATGCTGTACAAATGTTATTTAATTGTAAATCCAGCTTCCCTCAAATGACATTTGTTCAATTTTTTTTATGTTCTCTATGTTTAAAATGTTTTTAGGTTTATCCAAACGAACGGCACAGCATCAAGGGACCAGAGTCTGGAGAACATTATGAAATCACGCTGTTGCACTTCCTTCAGGAGAACCTCTGATAACCTTTTTTTTTTTTTTTACACACAAATTAATTACTCTGCTTCAGCAGGGGGAGCTGCTCTGCATCTTTTGTGTTTTTATGCCCAGAAAAGTCTTGATGTATGGCGTTGTTTTTATATTCACATTTTTCAACGGTCAACTTGAGTTGTAGTAAACAATGTGACATATACTAGAGGTCCACCAGAGAGTATTTTCATTCTTCATTTTACTCTTAAAATTAAACTAAGCACATGTGCATGCCTCTGGCCCAGCGGTCTGCAAGCAATCCTGGAGTTTTTCCATCTCTCCCTGCTATAGCACACCTGGTTCAAACGATCCGCATCGTTATCTAGCTTGTGCAGACCGTCTAGCTTGTGCAGACCGTGCTGGTCATTCTTCATTTTACTCTTAAAATTAAACTGAGCACATGTGCATGCCCGAGGCCCAGCGGTCTGCAAGCATTCCTGGAGTTGGTTTCCATCTCTCCCTGCTATAGCACACCTGGTTCAACCGATCCGCATCGTTATCTAGCTTGTGCAGACCGTGCTGATTATCTGATCATTTGAATCACAGCCCTCGAGGAACAAGATTGAAGACGCCTGCTCTGGACTCAACCATATTTGTTAATATGGGAGCTGCTGCCTCAAGCAAACATCATCGATTACATTTTAAACTCATTTTAATGTTTTCATCAACAAAACTGAACTCTTGAGACTTTGTTTCGTCTATCCATCCAACAGCTAATTGACAAAGAAATGTCAAGTGGTTTAGAATTTCATCCTCCCGGAGTACCATAGCATTATTTTGGGGGATAGATCTTTTAAGTTTTTTTTTCCAAGATTTAGGATGTTTTCCAAACAAAATGCATTTGTTAGTTGTCAGTAAGATAGTCCAAGCATAGTGCTATTTTGTCAGGCTATAAAAAATAAAATAACATCTGAGGAAAGGATATGTGGTATTGTTTTAAGCTTCAAAACGAGGGGGGGGGGCGGGGGAATATGGACCCAGTACTGCGAAAGGATATGTGGTATTGTTTTAAGCTTCAAAACGGGGGGGGGATATGGACCCAGTACTGCAAGTAAAGATAATGTCACGGTTTAAAATATTGTGTTTATAGTTTGTATTTTTTAAACCAGGGGTGTCAAACTCAGGTCCTGGAGGGCCCCTGTCCTGCATGTTTTCCAAGTCTCCCTGTTGCAACACACCTGATTCAAATGAACAGGTTCAATGTTGGAAAACATGCAGGACAGCGACCCTTAAGGACCTGAGTTTGACACCCCTGGTTTAAACTATGGTCATACATGATGTTCATATGAACGTGTCACATTTGTATTCAGTTATGACAAATACGGTACTGTTTATTGTTTTGGGGCTGGGGGAAAAAAATCGCAAATTTGTGCCTTTCACAAAACAGATCATTAACTGTAAGGAGCTTTTTCTTATGCTGTAAACCAGGGTACCCATTACGTCGATTGCGATCGACCGGGAGCTCTCGGACTGGTCCCAAGTCATTCGCGAGGGTTGTAGAGGTAAAAACAAACATTTGTGTATTTCTGTGCGTGTTAGTAATATACTTTTTGTGTTGATGCACGCTGCCCCCTAATCATCCTATCAGTGTTACTTTCACAAAATGTATTTAAAGAATAAAAATCAAGCAGGTCACTTTTAACCTACGGTGGTGCATGACCTGCGTTACCGGAAGTTGATAGCGCTCAGCAGTCTGCATTGCAGCTTGCGATCAGACCTGTTGCGCTATATCTTTGTTATTCTCATTCTGGGTTTGTTTCATCTGCATTTCACCGATAGCAATGGCAAAACATAGGAATCTGGAGCGCCAAAAGAAGCATTTTAAAACGGTACGCGTGAGCTACGATAATTAATAAGGCTGCAAACGTGCGTCGGTACCTCCGCGTCTGGTACCCCACTAAGGTAGGCAGGAAATCCTTTTCACAAACTCAATCAACTCTTGTGTCATTATGGCTGTTGCTCATCATGGCATAAGTGTGCAAGTGATAAATTATATTTTATAAATCAGAGTCAAGTTGAACGACGGTCCTTTCACACTTTAAAGCATTGTTTCCGTCGTCATGAGCATAATCTGTACAAGTGGCGGTTGTTCTAAAACTACATGGGAAACTCGGCTTCCACTTTAAAAAAGGTGAAATAAATCTTGCTGTGTGCACATGGCGACCAGTTCAGGGGTACGCTGCCTACTGCCCGATGACAGCTAAGATTAGGCTCCAGCACGCCCGCCACCCTTGTGAGGATAAACAGTTTCGAAAATGACTAAATAGGCATTAAAAAGCCTTTGTTGTTTTGTTCAGAATCGGGTACGTATCACAGGCAACTGACACAAGTTCCTTGTCATTCATCCCCGAGGCGCCACGGCCCTTGACAGAGTCGGACGCTGTACTGATTCGTAAAGTGGATTGTTCCACTGCGCGAAACTGGATGGTGAAGCCATTATTAAGCTATTTGCATTATTATCTTAACGAAATATTACGGACAGCTACACTTTGACTGTAGTGTGACCTCGCTCTGAACCTTATGAAGTGACCTTAACTTGAACCTTATGGTTTGGCCTCGACTTGAACTGCCTTAGCGACGGAAAATAATGTTAACACCTTTGCAGACAAAGACCAGACAACGCTGTACATGCACCTTTCAGCGGACCTGCGGTTTCACAACTACGGTCTTGTTCCGTTCCAGCTTGTTAGAAACAAAAGTCATGCAACAATTATGCCATCCGAAAATGTCAGTAAAAGGAACAGTTTCTGGAGAAACGAAAGTATCGCAATCATTAACTATGTTAAATCTTTAAGTTATGTTTTTAGTAAAAAGAAAACATCAGGAAAACTGGGAAAAAAACGAAAGCATTAGAACAGTCATCAGGAAACTGAAAGGGAAATATCCATGGAGAGTGAAGTATGTATTCTGCTCATATTTAGTCATGCTGAATAACTTTCCCATGCCCGCAGCATAGCTTGGCGTCCTTGTAACAATCATCACCTAGAATTGGAATACTCCCTACTGAAGACGCACGAACTTTGGAATGCGGTAGTTGGTACAAGCTGAGAATTGGTTTAGGAGAAACGAAAGTTATGATGTCACACCTTGTGTCTCGGTACCGCCCTTCTGATGATATAAAAATGATGTGAATCTCTTCGTGCTTCGCACTCGTGACACGCAGCCATTGTCTGTAAACCGCTGGAGCCCGGAATATTCGAAGAAACTGTTCATCGACTCCAGCCTGTACTTGGATTACCAACATTCTCCTCTTCCGAAATTAAACGAACACACGGGGGGAAAGAAGGCCGCTTTCCCCACAACAAGAGTTTCGCCCCACTTAGAATATATAAGACTTGTTTTGAGATGTCGCTTTCGCGCATTTGTGCCTTGACCACAACGATTGCTTGTATCACACTTGTGCCCTGAACGTTCAGATAAAACTTCTTGGAAAAACTTCTCCATTTCCAGCCTCTGATTTCACACCTCAACTCAGCCCGAATTTAAACGAACACACGGAGGACCTGGAGGAAGCAGAGGACGGCGGGATTCGCCCGCCGTGACCACAACAACCTCTCCCTCCCCGCCTCCAACCGTGGTCACTGGGTAAATGCTGGGCTTTATCCCGCCCACCGGACACTTAGGGTCTCGGGTGGTGGCACTGGATTTCTGCATGATGATTGGATAATCTGTCTGAGGCGGGAAAGATGAGCGTCTCCTCACTTGAACGATCAGCAGCCGCCACTGTCCATACATTTATTTACTTCCCGTTATTATGGGAATTATGGCTGACTAAACCAGGATATTGTTTTATGTGCTTTACTGAGCTTTGGTTTAAATTTGAAAACCTTTGACCAATCCTCTTTGCCCAATTTCTCTCAATCATCCAGCGTCCTGAGTGCTCTCCTCTGCGCACTCCACTGAAACTCACTCCACAGGTTTTCAATGGGGTTGAGATCTGGAGAATGAGATGGTCACGGGAGGAACGTAATTCTGTGTCTCTTGAACCCTTTTTGCAATTTTCCGCCAGAGAGTATGCCGATATGTTTGTCCAAGTGTACCCTGCAATTGGATAATGTACAGTTGCTGATGTGTAGGAAGCGTGAGCTTCGGTGTAGGAAGCGTGAGCGGTGTTGCTACGCAGTGGCGGAGTGGATATGAGCCCGAGTGGTCGTCTGTATAAATACAGTATACGCCCTGTGATTGACCGGCAGCTAGTCCCGGTGTTTTTATTTTGTGTGTAATTTTTAGGTATCTCATTATCGGGGACACAAACCTGAAGAATACAAATTTTATTTCACTCACTTCTTACAAATGATATATTTGAAGCATAAAATAATTGAAGGAAATAATACACAACTTATAATTATGTTTAAAAAGACCTTATAAAGGGAATACTTGCGATTGTCAATGTGACAGAGAAATCTTATGGCATAGCATAGAAACAATTATGATCATTCAGTGCAATAAACAGGTGATAAATGTGCTTGTTGAGTTTGTCAGCCAGTTGTTTCAGTCTGAAGTTGTTGCATCATAAACGCTCGTTTTCTCAGCTTGCTTTGGCTCTCTGCTGCAGTTTCCTCAAGACTTTATTGCTGGCTTATTGAAATCGGTGCAAGCTTCATAAGAGTTGTACTCAGAGAGTTTTTTTGCCCCATTGTGTTGGTCCAAAACATCCTCCTCGGCTGCCATCTGACCGGGCCGGGCCTTCTGGGATATTTGCCGTTGAGGTTTGAGGCGCCACAGCTGCTGAACCACCATCCTCCTGAAACCAAATGACCAGTCAGAATACAATCGCTTGTTTTGTCGTACTTGACGTGAACAGATTCAATTCTCTCACCTGAGTGAAGCTCAGCACAGTTGACGTCTGCGGCGAGATCATTGTCACGGTCGGCTGTGGAGAAAGGAAGACCCGCGGCTCCCGTCATTAGGCTTCCCCCCTGAGCTCCAGACGTTGAATTTTGCTCGAGGTGGAGAGCGTAGTTTTTTTCCTTGCCATCAATTTGGACGCGATAGAGATTCGCGTGGCTCTCTCCTGTCGAATCCGTCAACTCCACCTGCAGCAGGTACTGGCCTTGTTCGGAGATTGTGTGAATGTTCTCCAGGCCCAACCAAAACTCGCCTGGGAGAAAGAAATCAGCCATTCTTATCACTGGGGTTTTGTGATACAAATTTGTCATGTATTTCCTGTGTGTCAACGGTGGTCTCACCATTCAGGCTGCCGAAGCCTTTTTGGTAGCTCTCCCAAAGGTGGTTAAAGTTTTCGGACCCATCGAGGCGTTTCTGGATGACGGTCCATCCACCTTCTGTGAAGGTGACAAAGAGAAGTTGAGTTTTCAGGTTGGCAAGTTGGCAATCAAGACAGACTTCGGGTAGGCTTCTTCTCGTCTCACCTGTAGTCATTTCGCAGAGGACGTTGAAGGGCTGCGAGTTCTGTGCTTGGATTGTGTAAATTCCGCTGGTTCGCTGCCCCCTTACAAACAGATCGTGGCAATCTTGAGCGAAACCTGAGGAAAAAAAAAAACCACAAACAGATGAGATGGTTGTACAAGTTTAGAGCTGCTTAACTACAGTTTTTGGCTGCTTGTTTTGCTCAAAGGCAGTCATGCCTGTCGGTGCTACGAGGAAAGATAACATTGTTGAGATCATGCAATGCAAGTCAATACCCTCGTTTTCTTGACCTTTGGACTGCCTACAAATGACCCTGACAACAAGTCAGGCTGTCTACTTGGAGTGGCAAAGGTTTAGTTTTGTTTTTCAACGTGTCACTTTAAATAGCTCGCCCTTCTTTGCTGGTCCTTGTTATGACACAGCCTTTACCGCACTGTCAAAGTTCAACGATGTGTATCGAGAAGATACGCAACGGCGAAAAGTGAAATCCGCAGAGTGAGAAACACGCTACTTAGAGCTCAGCATTTATCCGGCAGTGAAGAATTTCTTTGAACACATCCGATAACAGCGAGACTTTTTCAAAGTGATTTAATGACCTGTTTGGGTGTCACTTGGCACCGAATCTCCTCTCAGTGTTGTCTCCTCATGCCTGCGCCTGAGGAATCGGACTCCCTTGTGTGCAACCTGGAATAATGGCAGCCTGTCAGTCAGGATGAACAAGAGCACGCGCCGGTGTTGTTTTTCCCGTAGGCGGGAGAGACACTCACCTTGTTCTGCAGCGTCAGCAGGTGTAAACTCTGCTTGTCCAGTTTGTCTTGTTGCTGCTTGATCTTGTCAACCAGGTGGTCGATGCGTCTGTTCTGCGCTGCCACGACTCTCTGGGAACACACGTGGGAAAGAAACGTTATACAATTTTCCGTTAGGCGCGGGTGAAGACTTGTTTCTCGTCACTCCCGCCGTTTTACAATTCAAGCCTCTTTCTGCTTTGCTCACCTGGATAAATAACATTGTCGAGTTGTCTCCTTTGAAGCTGACTTCCATTGTCATTTTAAGCACTTCGTCCACTTTCTGCTCGAGTGCGTTCACGCGAGAGCGGATGTCCTTGGTCTGCTTCATCATCTCCCCATCCATCCTTTCCTTCTCCTCCCGGATGGCCTCCAGGGCTTCGTCTTGCTCGTGCCGCTTTCTCTCCAGTGAGACGATGGTGGCGTTGAAGGCTTTCAATTGGCTGTTGACGTCCCTCATCTGAGCTTTGGTCTTCATGACATGCTCCTTGAGGCCCTGGCCCAGCTGGAGCAGGCCGTGGGCCACCACGTTGACGTCGTCCCACGAGGCGTACTTGTCCCCCCTGGCCGCGGGGAATCCCGCCGCGGCGTTCAAGAGCAGCACGGGGACGAGGATGGCAGTCTGAAGCGTCTTCATCTTTGGCCTGTTTGGATTCGAATGATGATCTTGTGGTTTGTTTTGTGGTGCAGACGGAATTGTAAGGTTTTTTATAGCCGAGTGCTGCCGCTGAGGACCGCGTTGATTGGCTGCGAGGCTTTGGAGGTGGGCACAGAGGACGGTTTGGGGTGTGGAAACAGGCCACCACTTGTAAAATGATGCAATGCAAGCGTTCCATTTCTGGCTGACAAGAACAGTTGTGATGAACGACTGAGTTCATTTCAGTTGTTTTCTTATAATATTGCAGTCGTATTATTTTTGTGCATTCGAAGATACATTTTTGTTTATTTTTTTTCTGACATCATATGCAAATTTTCAAATGCTTGATTATCAAAATGGTTAAAGCAGGCTAATTATTAAACTATTAACTATAAAACTTAAGATCAGAATCACAACTTAAATTTCATTTGTTTATTTAAATTCTGTCAATTATCAAATGAATACATGGATGTAAATTACATAACATAATCTACATTCACCCATCTGTTTATTTTCCATAATCACTGCAAAGTTTCCAGAATAGCTGAACTACAGTCATATCATTAAATATTTTTTTTGTAGTTTTACAATTCCCTATTAAATACCCAATAAAGTGAAGACAACTGCGTGATTTATTGCACAAACTAGAAAAATAAATCTCCGCTTGTAAAACATTGTTTATGTATGGGGCCAGCAGCTACTAGTTTTCGACCATGAATCGGGAATGCCGAGGAGAACTTTGTGAGAAGTAGGGGAAAGTTCATCCCGCAGGGCTCTTTACACCCTCGCCCCTGACAGCAAACTCCCAAACAATGGCACGCACATGAAGACACGCACGCCCAGACACAAGTCACATGGTATCCGTGCAGTGCAAATTGAAAAAAGACCTACAGTGTATTTCGGCATACTCACACTTCATGATTGGATAAAAACATCTTTTCAACTCATATATACCATGTAGGCCACATAGCTCAACAGGCACATTCTTTGTTGTTGTTGTTTTTTTAAAGCAAATTGTAATACTTTGTGTTTATTGTCAACAAAACTTCCAACTTCTAGAAAAACACTTTGTAGCTTAGTGACTGTATATAAGGGTTGGGCAACGTATGGACTGCGGGTCAAATCTGGGCCACTCCATTTTTTTAATTTGGCCCACCCAGCATTTACATTATCAAGAGTCCTGTCATATTTGATGCAATTATAAAAACACAGTTTAAAAAAAAATTGGTTAATTCATATTCGACACGGAAATGATTTGTTAGCATAAAATGAATGTATAATTTGCGTGGCATTTTCAACACTGTTTATCCTGAACAGGTCTATTATTGATTTATAATTTTCATATTATTAAAACAATACAATTGTATGTTTTCTTATATATATATATATATTATATATATATAGAGAGAGAGAGAGAGAGAGAGAGAGAGAGAGAGAGAGAGAGAGAGAGAGAGAGATTTTAAACACACACATTGTAACATTCTATAAAATGTGATATGTGGGATTGTTTTTTTTTCCATGTCCATGCATTTAAAAGAACAATGAGTATGATGGCGAGGACATGGCAGTCCACAGTGCTCATGCAGAGCACGTTTCCCTCCCTGCTATAGCTGCTGAACTGCACGTATACTCCTGCCTCCTCTGTCTCAGCTGACGTGAGGTGCAGCACAGTGTCTGTGGCTGATCAGCTGGACGCCTGGCATCAGAACACACTGTTCCATTTGCACATGAGGTTAAGCCTTCTTCATACAATCTTTTCCCTTTGGTGGAAGAAATCTTAATTAAAATGGAAAGTTGTTGTCCTCGCTATAATATACACAAGTTTCTTCTACTACTTCTATCTGCGGATTCCCTTATTTATAGATTAAAATGTTTTTTTGTTTTTTCTGTTTATTTTTTTCTTTTTTTTGTGGGGGCAGGGTATCAAAAATAAATAAATCAACTGAAATGCATTAGATTAATTAAATTTTTCTCTTTTCATTTGTTGGAGGTTGTTCCCCATTCACTTTTCTTTAAAGTTCCAACATTTTCACTGAATCATTATGTAATTTACTAATCATCTTATCATGACAATGCCACAGAAGCATGATTTCATTCGAACATTATCTTTGAACGTCAGCCCTTTTTCAGCAGAAAATAAAACGCACGACACAAACAGTCAAATTCTTCTCAATAATTCTTGATAGTTTTCATCCTCTGAATTCCCCAAGCATTCCTGAATTGTTAGTAGTGATCTGCAAGGCCGCTGCCTAGATGACAACACCATATGTCCCATTACATCTGCACGTGCATAGTACACGAGCTTCCCTCTACTGGGTAAAATGTGATTTTAGACACCAGTGGGTTAGTGAGTGAAAGGTGAGCCTGTCGTCACGTGCCTGCTCTGTTGCATCACCCTCTTTAAAAAGCTGCAGCTGGATCCCAAACAATAAGTCTGTACACTCGCTAGCCACAATATTGCCCTCAAATATGAGACTTATTCAAAATGTTGCCACAAAGATTGTCTTCATCGTTGTTTTATACCACTGCAAGTAAACAACTACAGTCATAAACATACGGACAAACCCATAGCTCTCTGACATTGTTTTAAACATTAGCCACTTGTTAGTTAGACAGTTACTAGTTTGTGTGTGTGCGTGTGTGTGTGTGTGTGTGTGTGTGTGTGTGTGTGTGTGTGTGTGTGTGTGTGTATTTATACAAGTTGGCCATGGCGTCCCACAGGGATCTATGCTTGGACCAGTACGGTGCAGTCTTGGAAATATTAGAAAGCACTCTGTTACCTTCTACTGTTATGCAGACAAGACACAACTTTTATTTATGAATGAAACCGGTAAGTCCAAACTCCACAAGTGTCTCAAAGACAGCAAGAACTGGCAGACAGGTTAGTTCCACTTACTTAATTCTCTTAAAACCGCAATTACTGTATTGCAAATTTGTACATAAGTAGTGACGTGGACAACTGTGACACTTTTTTTTAACCAGATCCAAGCTGATTTGTTAGCGTGACCTGTCCATGGGTAGGATGCTCCTTCTGATTGGTGAGCTTGGGGGTCCAAAGAGTACTTTCAAGAAACATAGCTTTGACGATCCCAAAATTGCATTGACAGAGATCACAATTTTGATCTAAAAACAAAAATATTGCTGTTTGTCTATTTTTATTCAGAGCGGCGTCCACACTCTGCCTTTCTGTTACTCTGCCAGTCTCTCTGTAGCAACCCTGTTAAAAATAATAATAACAATCATAATAAAATAAACAGCATACTTTATTAGACCAGCATGGTTTTGTTGAGTTTTTGTGCTGGCCCGTCTGGTGTCACCAGTAAAACTAGCAGCAAAAGTTAAAAAAAACAACAACCAAGATTCAAACAGTTGAACTTTTGGTCATTGGGCAACCTACTCGATGAACTGAGCCACAGTTGCCCAGCGGTCATTCACACTCAAAATCACACCTCAGGACATTTTTTAAAGTGGTACTTACCTGCAAACTGCTTTTAGCTTTATTCTAAAAATGTACCTGTAAAATGAATATCCCAAACTTTTTGTAAGTAATTTCTGGTCTATTGTCAGCCAACCAATCCAGAGACTCGGATTGTTTGTCTTTGAGCCGGTTAAGCACTTTGTCTCCTTGGATCGGCTTACCACACTGACAAAGTACTATACTCTTCTCATTCAATTCATAAATGGTACATAAATTGGAATTTCTCAAACACTTCACCTTAAGCGCAGTGTTACAGGGGTCAACGGTCTTCGTTGCTTCGGGGTTCCGAACAGTGTGCAAAGGAGCGAATTTATGCAACGGTGTAAGAATACCTTGTCACACGGCACAAGAAGGCATGCTCAGTAACCACTGTACTTTCTCTCTTTCATTGGATTGTTTTATAGTTATGGCTATGAAGCTTTTTTCATGCTAAATATTTACTGTAATTATGAACATATTACTTTGTGAGCATATCTGTCATAAAAGCCCTGCACTGTTGTTGTATTTTGATGTTAGAGACATATTCTTGAATGGTTTGTGTAGGTCTTTTCTTATGTTAAGTGACTGAGCATATTCAGTTTTTTTTCTTGACTTGTCTTTGATGAAAATCTCATTGAAATTGTGGCACAGCTCTGCTTCGGCAATGTGCAAAAGGAGCTGCTTGTCACAAAAACGAATTGTTTAAATTTGTGTGTTGCTGCCATGAGGAATTCATTTCCTGGTGGAACTAAAAGCAGCTGCGATTTACACTCCAAAGATGGAGTCTTCCTTCATTCATCACTTACATCGGAATGACCTTTTACCCAGATTCCACTCACAGAGTAGTTATCCTTTGTGTCCCAGCTTGCTCTGGGCCCTGTTCTTGGAATTTTTTTTTTTTTTTTTTACAATCTCATTCTCCAGCTTGCACTTTAACCCAGAAAGCGTTGTTGTTTTCCTGAAGCCTCTGTACAACACCACACTTATCTTTTTTGGATGGTGAACATCGTACCAAGCAATGTGCATATGTTAACAGTGGCTAAATTAAAACTCCAGTCAAATGGCAGGTTTATAGTCACGGTATATCTGTACTGTTGTATCGCATTCAAGTCTTTTCAAGACAATTCACTGATAATACTTCAACATATTCTCATAACTCATCAGCAGAATACAGTACATCGATATCTGACTGAGTAATGTAAAATTTTGGCGACAAAGAAATTCTGTGGACTACAACAACAGGAAAAATAAATGAGGCTGAATAAATTTGCAAGTTGTATCTTGACTCGATGTTACGATCGCTTTCGTGCCAAATGCATTCCAATCGGTGTGTGTAAATATTAAGCAACAAGTGGAATCAAAACAAGTGTTCGCTGTCGCAAAGTTCGTCAAGTAATTTATTGCTTTGGCAGTTTGGTTGCACGAAAAAAAAAAGGCTTTTGTTGAATTTATTTTATTTCTTCAAGCGGTTGCTCTAAATAAAATCATCTGGATCCAGATACATGTTTCAAGTAGACTAGACATCTATAGATTTTAAGTAAAATTCAAATGACCATTTTTTTCCCATGTAGTGATTGTTTTATTTTAAACACATTCCTAAGAACCAA